AGATTCTTCTGCCTGAGCCTTCGGAGTAGGTGGGACTACAGGTGTGCACCACCATGCCTGGCTATAGTTTTTTTTTCTCTCATTTCCTCCTTTACTATCTTTCTTTGTATTTAATTGATTTTTTTTTAGTGACATGTTTTGTTTCCCTTCTCATTTCCTATTGTAAATACTCTATAGATATTTTCTTTGTGGTTTCCAAGGACAGTGCATATAATATTCTAAAGTTATAACAGCCTATTTTAAACTGATACCAGCTTAATTTCAGTTGCATACAAGATTTGTCTACTCCTTTATAGCTCCATCTTGCCCATTTTGGATTATTGACATTATAAATTATGTCCTTATATTGTGTACTCTTTATAACAGATTTATAATTATTTCTTTTTTTCTTGTCTTTTTTAAATCTTATAGGCAAAACCAGCCCAAAATACAATAAATACAGTTTTCTTGTTTTGTTTTGTTTGCCATATTGGGGATCAAACCCAGGACCTCACACATGCTAGGCAAGTGCTTCACTACTGAGCTGCATCTCCAGACAATAATACAGATTTTTATATTTGTCCATTTTTAACTTTTACTGAAGAAATTTTTGTGTTACTTACATCCTTTTGTTTTAACTTAAAGGACTCCATTTAGCACTTCATATAAAGCTGGTCTAGTGATAATGAACTCCCTCCCTCAGTTTCAGTTAGCTGGAAATGTCTTAATATCTCCATCCTTTGGAGGAAAGTTTTGCTTGATATAGTATTCTCAGTTGACAGGTTTTTTTTTCTAATTTTAGTAATTTAGATATGCTATCCCTCTGACTACACTGATAATCTTATTGAGCATCCTTTTTATACAATAAGTTACTTTCTTGTGCTGCTATCAAGATTCTGTCTTCACCTTCCCAAAGTTTGATTATAGTGTGAGTTTGATTATAGTGTGGGTTCCTTTGAGGTTTTCTTACTAAGGTTCATTAAGGTTCTTATATTTTTAAATCTATATCTTTCTTCAAATTTGAAAGGTTCTTGGCCATTATTTCTTCATATAAGCTTTCTACTACTTTCTCTATTATCCATCTGGAATTCCTATAATGTGTACATCAATGTACTTCATGTTGTTCTATAAGTCCCTTAGGTTCTGTTTTCTTTTTACTCCTCAGACTCCATAATTCTTCCTTTTGCCTGTTTGAATCTACTATTGAATCCCTCTGCTGAATTGTTTCAATTCAGTTATTGTGGTTTTCAACTCAGAATTTCTGTTTTGTTCTTTTTTATATTTTTCTTTCTCTGAATTGTTATTCTTTTTTTGTTCAAGTATGGTTTTTCAGATTTTGTTTAGTCATATATGTTCTCTGTGAGAATAATTTAGATTTTTATTTGGTACTAGGGATTGAACCCAGGGCTACTTTATCACTGATCTACGTTCACTGTCCTTTTTATTTTTTATTTTGAGACAGGGTCTTGCTAAAGTTGCCAAGGTCTAGCTGAGTTACTGAGTCTGGCTTCAAACTTGTGATCCTCTTGCCTCAGCCTCCCAAGTCCCTGGGATTGCAGGTGTGCACCACCACATCTGGTACTCATCTTTTATCTTTCAATTTATTTATTTATTTACTTATTTATTCTTGACATGAGGGTCTCACTATGTTGCCCAGGCTGGTCTGGAACTCTTGAACTCAAATAATCCTCTCAGCCTTCAGTGCTATCATTACTGATGTGCACCACTATACCCAGCTCATAAACTTTTTTTTTTTTTTTTCCATACCAGGGATTGAACTCAGGGGCACTTGGCCACTGAGCCACATTCTCAGCCCTATTTTGTATTTTATTTAGAGACAGGGTCTCACTGAGTTGCTTAGTGCCTTGATTTTGCTGAGGCTGGCTTTGAACTCTCAATCCTCCTTGCCTCAGCATCCCAAGCTTCTGGGATTATAGGCATGCACCACCACACCCAGCTTCATTAACTATTTAATCTTGCAAATGCCTTCAGATGAATCACAACAATTTGGGAGTCTTTAGGGTTTTTTTTTTTTTCCTATTCTTTTGTCATATAAGTAATTTTTAATTTCAGTTAATTAAAGTGAATTTTCTCTTTGACCTCTGAGTTTTACTCACTTGTATTTTAGTCAGAGAATGATTTATGTGAAGAGTAGACAGATTTCCTATCTAAAGAACAAATGGCTAAGGGTCTAGGATTGCAACTCAACAGTAGAGCGTCTACCTTATGTGTACAAGGCCCTGGGTTTGATCCCCACCACTGCCCCCGCCCCACCCCCAAAAAACAGAATAGATGGTAAGCCAGGAGTGATATTGCAGGTCTGTAATCCAGCACTTGGGATTCTGAGGCAGGAGGATCAAAATTTTGAGGCTAGCCTCAACAACTTAGTGAGCCTATGTCCCAAAATAAAAAATAAAAAGGGCTAGGGATATAACTTGGTGGTAGAGACTCTGGTGTCAATCTCCAGTACCAAAAAAAAAAAAGAACAGGCTTTGCAAACCCATAAAAATCCAAACTGAACACTAATGTTGTAGTATGATATATAAACAAATATGTAGCTACATTTGGATAAAACTGTTTACCAAAATAGATTTGACCTGGATTTGACCCATACTGATCCACCATCTCATGTTTATCCGTTAAGATCTGCTTTTAGAGAAAAACTTTATATTTCTATTTATGCCTAAGAATTACATGTGTTCCATGAGTCTAAGGTTATAGCTTAGTGACAGAGTGCATGCTTAGCATGCACAAGGCCTAGGATGAATCACCCATACAAAAAGAGAAAGAGTAAGGGAGGTGGACAATGAAGAAGAAAGGAGGGAGGGAGGGTGGGGATGTGTTCTTTAAAGTCCTTTGGTGGCTGCAGTGGTGCACACCTGTAATCTCAGCAGCTCAGGAGGCTGAAGCAGGAGTCTCCCAAGTTTAAAGCCAGCCTCAGCAACTTAGCAAGAGACTGTCTCAAAATAAAAAGGTCTGGGGATGTGACTCAGTGGCTCAATCCCTGGTACCAATAAATAAAATAAATAAAGTCCTTACCATTGTGGATGCCTCATTCTATATATCTGTTAGGTCATATCTGCTAAATGTTGGGTTTATATTAACTCAACATGCACAGTTTTGTCCTTCTAACCAATCACTAATTGAGAGTGTATTAAAATCTCCCCCTTGGAGGTTGGTTTTGTCCCTCTTTTTTGACTCTATTTTACTAAAGTTTTCTTTTTTTTTTTTTTTATTGTCCACTTTGGTAACTATAAAATGAGTGCTTTCTTAGTTTTTACAACATTACTTTTTCTATCTTTAACTTTCAACTTTTAGCTTCTGTGTTTTTGCATGTATGTGTTTACTAACCCCTACAGTGCTGGGGGTTGAACCCAGGGCCTCACACATGCCAGGTATGACCCACCATTGATTGATCTATGTCCCTAGCCTTATGTGTTTCTTGCCAGCATAATATGGCTAGTTTGGTTATATTTTTTTCATCACCATGTTCAGTCTGCTTGCATTTATAAATTTTATGAATATAAATATATAAATTTTATGAAAAGAATTGATCATATTCTTTTTTATACCTCTTTTAGCATCTTCTGGATTTAGCCTCTTCTTACTTTGAAGATTTCCTACAAAAAAATTTGTGAGCAGAATCCTTCTCATGGCAATATTTTGAGGTCTATAAGTTTATTTTGTTTTTGGTTTTTGACTGTGTATGATGCTGGGAATCAAACATAGGTACTCGTACTCATATATAGTAAGCATGCATTTACCACTAAACTATATTCCCAGCCCTAAGAATATTTTTATTACATCCTCATATGCAAACAATAGTTTGGCTTAATTTAAATCTAGATTAGATAAATTTTTTCTCATTTGCTCATAATATTAGTTTATTATGAATCTTGGAGTCTCTTCTTTGTAGTTTGTATGCTCTTTTCCTTTAGGAAATTTCAGAATTTTTCTTTGATATTGCAGATTATACACATTTCATTCTAACGTATCAAGATGTTAGTTTTTCCATATCTTACTTGGTCAGCACTTAGAGAGCCTTTCAATCTAAGCCATTAATTTTTCCTTAATTATATGAAGTCTACTCATTTCTCCCAAGTACTTCCTTTCATCTTTCCTATGGAACCCTACTATGTGGTTGTTGGACCTCTCTGCTGCACTGTTTATCTTTACTTTTCCCATATAGTTTTTCCTCCCTGTTGGAGCCTGGGCTTCTCTTACATCTGACCTGCCTTCCCTACTCTGACTTGGTCTTCAGCAGCAGCTACCCTCCTACTTATCCTATCAATACCTGTGTTGCTAAACGTAATATCTATACTTGGTTTTTCTCCCATCATTTCTAGTCTTTTTATGGGTTTTTGTGTCACACTTACTTTAAAATCCTGGGCCTTCTCTTCCAGTGATAAATGTTATGTGGCTAGCTGTTTTCCCTTTGAAGTAGCTGTCCTACTCAAGGTCTGCTCTTTGGCCTGAGCAGCAGAGAGCCCACCTAGCAGTACGTATTGCAGACTATGGTGCCAGTGTGCCCTAGCTAGGGGAAGCATGGACAAGAGCCAAGGGCAGAGATTACCGATACTAATAAAACCATATGCTTCCTTTCAGGGCCTCCATACCTCAGGCCTGAGCTTCAGTACCTAGGGAGCATCAGCATAAGGAGCAGACTCTCCTGAATGCCCACCCTTCTGACCTTCAGCCCTCATGTGCCAACTTCATCCTGTCCTAGAATGTCAAGTCCCTATAGCCACTGTCCTGTCAATTAAAAGGTCTACAGAGCCTGTCCCAACCTTCCCTCCTTTATCCCTGTACTTTAGTACTCCCCTTCACTCTGTCTCACACATGGCCTAGCCCAGTCTAGCCTTTTAACTCACCAGGGTTCATCATATGCAGAGGAATCATTCTTTTCCCTTTATGGTTTCTCCATTGAGCAGACAAGGGTGTCTACCAGGCCAGGAAAATGTCCCATGATATCTGGGTCTCCTTCCTGACACTTTCACTCAGCTGTCACTCTGTGTCTACAGGGTCTGCGGAAGAGGGAGTTGCTAAAGGAGCTATTGCCAGTCATTGGGCAAAACCTCCGCTTCCAGCGCCTCTTCACGGAGTGTCAGGAACAACTCGACATCCTGAGGGACAAGTAGCCTGCCCTGACCTGCCCCAGCAGCAACAAGGGCAGGGCTACACTCTCACTGCTAATGATGCCCAGGGTTGCCTCTCACCTGGCCAGTCCGCAGTAGGAGGAGACATTGGCAGGCAATGTGCTGTCCTGCACCAGCACCAGCCCAGCTCCCTAGGTGGACATTCCCTGTGTCCTGGGCCTGTTCTTGCTTCAGAAAGGGACAGCTCGTTCCTCTCTCCAGGGTCCCCATGCAGAGCTGGGGCTGGGGTTGTGCCCTTCTGCCCTGGGGCCAGCAAGATGTTCCTGGGCCTGCCATCTCCAACACGGCCCCATGGTGGACACTAGCCCCTGCAGCTCCAGGCACTGTGCTGCTTCAGCTATGACGAATGAGCCATTTGTGAGAGCAAGAATCTGCAAATATTAAGTGTTATACAGTCAGCAGACTGACTTGAGACCTATGTAAAAGGAAGGCTGTTCCAACACATGGACTATTTTTGTACTAGAATTTGCTAACTTGTAATATGGAATTTTTCTTTTGGCCAATAATCAGGATTTCCCTATAAGTTACTTGGACATTGGTCACTTGTAGGAAATTTAAACTCTAATTATGACAGCTACACTGAAAAATAATTGTACTGAAATTAACTTGTCTATTCATTTGGTTTAATTTTTAAATGTTTGTAAAAAGAGATGTTTTTTGGGGGATGGGGCAAATGGGAGGGTGATTTCTTTTGTAAGTGTAAAATAAATGAATACGCATTGGATACCAAATTATTGTGGTTTTCCCTTCCTTTTCCTCCTGATGTCCGCTTTCCTTCCCCCACTGTGGATCTTTCTCCTAAGAAGTAGGCAGTGAGAAAACATCTCAACTTGAAAAGATCCTTTGATTTCATCTGATCCCCACCCCCCACGCATAAATTCATTTCTCAGTATGGAAGTCACTTTTCTGGTGGTGTAGCTCCTAAAGCTGGCCTGGGGCTAGCAAGTGGGCCACCTTGCACATGTCATCTGCCAAATGAGGCATTCTAATTCTTGGTTCTAGCCTAGTTGTGCCCCAGGTCCCGATCATGCTGGGTACCAAGGGCTGCATTGATGACTGCTTAGCCAATTTCATGAAACAATAAGTACAAAGTTGAGTGTACTTATTGTAATCGATAATTAAAAATTATCAGGAAAGCTGGAATTTTCTTAGAAAGTGGACAAGATGCTGATCCATGGGAAAGGAGTTAAAATTACAGAATCTTCAAACACAGGTAAGGCTGTGCACTACCCCCCCCACACCCAGTACCTTGCCAGCTGTGTGTGATTCAGAGTCTAGGTAAGGAACCCTGGACTTGGAATCAAAAGGCCTGGTGATTCTGACCTTTGACATCTCCTCTCTAGCTGCTTCCCTGCCTAGGGGCCATCCCATTCCTTCTCTCATTCTGATATTAAATGGCTGGATGAGATTCAAGGACATCTGCATGCTGCAAAAAGCCAATATAGAATGTGGAGCCATCAAAAGGCAGGCTGCAAGTGGAGGAGCTTTTCTTTGAGGAAGATGCTACTGTACTGGTCAAGCAGCATCCCTGGCAACTAAAACAAGTCAACATTTGAGAATTTTGTGAAGCCACAGACTTAGCCTTAGGACCAACAGGCCTGAGATCTAAACCAGTAAAAACCTGGGCCTCATTTTTTTCAGCTATCAAACAGAGATGAGATTAAGAAAGCCTACATAATTATAAAGACAAATGGATCATGTAGGCAAAGTCCTATCACTTAGAAAATGCTCCCTTGAAGTAAACATTGGCAATTGTGTTTTTACTACAACTCTTTGGAGAGGATGGAGAAAAACTGGTCAGTTTCCATTTCCAACCAAGATGAAATAACAGATCAGATCAGATTTACCCTGCTGCCTGAAACAACCAGTGACCCAGTCAACATAAATAAAACAATGATTTCAAGACTGGTATCAAAAAAAGAGAAATGGGGACCAGAGGTGTAACTCAGAGGCAGTGTTCTTGCCCAGCATGTGTGAAGTCCTGGGTTTGATCCCCAGTACCACCAAAAAAAGACAGATGGGAAACAAGGCAAACCCAAAATTGCCCCAGCTTCCTATCTGGAAAGAGGGTTTTCAGGACACAATAAAGTGAAGTGGAACCCAGCCAACAGTTGAGTTGAAGAAATGGAGTTGAGAATCCAAGAGACGAAGGCAGCTAGAGTTTACAAGACAAAACACCAGAGAAGAGAGAGCTCTATAGAGAACCTTAAAAATCTATAGAGCCCCTCTTGAGTATTCAGCTGAGTACGAAGAGTGTAAGCACCTGAGGAAACTACCATATGAAACAACTGCTGAGGCCAAAGAACAATCTGAAAAAAAAAAAAAAAGTGAAAATCGCCTGTTGCTAGTAACCAGACTAGAAAAGCTCATAACTCACAAGCTTGAAATATAATATTCAAGAAAGTTTTGTCTCTGTATTGGAAAATAATTACACCAAGATCCATTTAACAAAAATAAAAGGAAGACCCAAAAGAATCCAAGTAACTTAATTCCATTACAAAGCAAAGCTTAAAGATTTATAAGAACATGAAAATATGCAACATCCAACAAGATGAAGCTAACCATGTCCAACATCCAAACAAAGATAACAAGGCATACAAAGAAGCAGGAAGATGATCCAAAAAGAATAATTTCAGTCCACATTGAACCAGAATTTGAACCAATGTTAGAACTGGCAAAGAAAGACATTTAAAGAGATTATAACACTACTCCTATGTTCCAAAAGTTATATAGAGATGTGGGAAAACTTAGCAAAGACACAAATTGAACTTCTAGACATGAGAACTAATCATTCACATGAAAAATGTATGGGATAGGATTAACAACACTTTAGACACTGCAGGGAAAAAAAGATTAGTGAACTTAAAGGTATAGAAATGTTCTGAAACAGAAAAATTCCAAAAGAAAGAAAAATATCAGAACTATGAAGATAACTTCAAGTAGTCCAATATACAGGGAATTGGAGTCACCAAAGGAGAGGAGAAAGAGGAGTGACAAATTTTTTCCTTCAACATTTTCATCACCTCCAGAAAGAGCTCATAACACTTTTATCTGTCATATCCCATTCCCATTATCCCAATGCAACCACCAATCAATTTCCACCTCCATAGACCTGGCTATTCAGGATATTTCACATAAAACAGAATCATAGAATATGTGGTCTTCTCCGACAGGTTTCTTATGTTTCTGTGTGTGTGTGTGTGTACTGGGGAATTGAACCCACGAGTACTTTACCACTTGAGTTACATCACCAGTTCTTTTTATTTTTTACTTTGAGATGGGTTTACTAAGTTGCTGAGGGTCTTGCTAAGTTGCTGAAGCTGGTCTCAAACTTGCCATCCTCCTGCCTTCGTCTCCCAAGTCACTAAGATTACAGGAATGTATCACTACATCCAGTTTGGCATAATTTCAAGGTTTATTCATGTAGCATGTATCACTACTCCTTTTTATGGCCAAATAGTTTATTGTATGGAATACCACATTTGCATATCTAGTCACCTGTTGATAGACATCAGGATTGTTTCTCTCTTTGGGCAATTATCCATAATGGTGCTGTATAAGTTTTTCTGTGGACATGATTTCATTTTCTTGATTTCATATCCAAGAGTGGAATTGCTTGGTGTGTCAGTCAGCTTTTTGTTGCAGTTTACAAATACCTGTGAAAAACAACTTAAAGGAGGAAAGATTTATTTTGACTCATGGTTTCAGACTATGGTTGGCTATTGCTTTGGACCTGGGGTGGAGGCAGAGCATCATGGTGGAAGAGCACAGCAGAGCAAAGCTGTCTACCTCATGACAACTAGGATGCAGAAAGAAAACAAGGAAGTGGTCAGGGATAAGACATAGCCTTTCAGGGCACGTCCACAGTGACCTACTTCCAACTAGGACCCACATCTGATAGTTTCCATCATTTCCCAATAATGCCATCAATTTATGAAAATATAATTGTTTTAATCCACTGATGAGGTTAGAGCCTTTATGATTCTGTCAGTTCCCAAAGTTTTCTAAGCACTGCTGCATTGAGGACCAAATCTTCAACACATGAGCCTTTGGGGGACATACCAGATCCAAACATTGAATCATATGGTGACTAAATAACTGATGAACAACCATTCTGCTTTATAATGTGGCTGCAGTATTTTATATTCATACCAGTGTGTATAAGGGTCCTAATTGTCCCACATCTTTGCCAGTATTTATAATTTTTTACTGAAGTCATCCTGGTGAGAGTAAAGTGGTATCTTTGTGGTTTTGATTTGCATTTCTCTAGTGACCAAATGCATTGAATATATTTTCATTGGCCAACTGTATGCCTTATTTGCAGAAAAATCAATTCAGATCCTTTTCCAACTTTCAAATTTAGTTATCTTTTTATCATTAAGAATTTTTAAATACATCCTCTATAAAAGTTCCTTATCAGATTTGTCTTTTCACATTCTTGATAGTGTCATATAATGCATAGAATTTTTTTTATCTTTTGTTCCTTGTTCTTTTGGTCTTATATCTGAGAAACCACTGCCATATCCAAAGTCATATAAACTTATCCCTGTCCTTTCTTTTCTTATCATTCCCTTCCCTTTCTTTCTTTTTTCTTTTTTATTTTTTCTGATACTGGAATTGAACCTAGAGCCTCCTATGTAATAAGCAAGCACTCCTAACACTTGAGTTACATCCCTAGCCTTCTTTAATTTTGAGATAGGATCTCAGTTGCCCAGGCTGGCTTCAAGCATGTGATCCTGCTGCCTTAGCCTCCTGATTCACTGGGATTATAGACAGACATGTGCCACTGCACCCAGCTATATATATTATATTATCTATATAATATATATATATGAACAATATTTTAATCTGCCTTTGGTTTATGAGTAAGGGTGGACATATTTTTCATGTTTAAACATCACTCATTTCTTCTTAATGAATTGTTCATGTATTTTGCCCAGTTTTTTATTTGGTTGTTGGTTTTACTGAGTTGTAGGAGCTCACCATTTCTTCTATAAAGATAAAACAGCACAAAGAATTTAAAGAATTTTTGTTTTGTTTTGAGGGTTGTTTCATTTCATTTTGTTTTTCAGGATTACCTGGCCAGTTACCCACCAGTTGTGAAAATATTAACATCCTTTTCAGGTTGGGACATTTTACTCCTTGCCAAGTACAGACACTGGGTGAGGTCCTGATTTATTGACAGTCTCGTCATTCTGCTTTACAACAGTATTCTTAAAATTCTTTTAAGATATAACTTTTTAGTTTGACCCCTCCCCCCACCTAAAAGAAAAAAGAAAAAACCCTGGGGAAATGGGTACTTAGGGTCACAGGCACTATTGTCAAAATAATGTAAATTTTTTGAAATGTACTATTACCCACAGCAAGTCAGCTCTCTTGTTAGGAGATAAGACCACAGATGTTGAAGAGCAACCTGCAGAGATCTTAACTAACATCAGAAAAGAGATTTTTAATTTGAAAGTGATCCTTCCATTCTATTCTTTAACATTTTAGGCTACTAGATAGTCAAACTATTGTGGAAATAATTGTATTGTTGACAGTGGACTTCATTCATCTCTTAAAGTTTCCAGAATTTTTTTTAATCTTTTGTTCCTTGTTCTTTTGGTCTTATATCTGAGAAACCACTGCCATATCCAAAGTCATATAAACTTACCCCTGTGTCTTTGTAAAGTGGTAGAGGGATATTGATTATAACGCAGCAGTGCCTATGCTGAATGCCAAAGTCTTCCCT